CATCACATATCTTGAAAGAGCATTCGAAATTCTACAGAAATCTCTTCCATCTGATCATCCGGACTTGGCCACTATTCATAACGGCATAGGCACGGTGCAAAGTTTTGTGGGTAACTATCAACCGGGACAGGAACATTTTGAGGAAGCACTAAAGATTCAACAGAAATCACTTCCACCCGATCATCCGAGTTTAGGAATCGTTCATAGCAATATCGGTATCGTTTGTCAATTCACTGGCAAGTACTCTGATGCACTCACGTTTTATAAGAAGGCGCACAGAATTTTTCGGAAATCTTTTCCAGAAGATCATCCATTACTGGCAGTAAATGACTCGTATATTGGCTTAGTGTATACTATGATGGGAAACTACTCAAAAGCATTGGTACACTTCGAAAAAGCATTGGCAAATCAAGAGAGAGCGGTCACTCCCAATCATCAAGATTTGGCAAACACCTATAATGGCCTTGGTATGCTGTATCAAGCAATGGGGAATTTTCCAAAGTCGAAATTGTATTATGAAAAAGCGCTCGAACTTTGGCAGAAGTATCTTCCACCTAATCATGCAACATTAGCCAGAATTTATAGCAATCTCAGCCTGTTAAGTCTTTTGATGGGAGATAATATAACTGGATGCTCAGCTATGAGTAAAACGATTGAGATCGAGCAGAAATCACATTCAGCTCATCAGAATCATTCATCTCTTGCTATTGATACTGATACAAGTAACAGTTTACGTCAATTCATGAATTCTTATTCGGAAGCAGTGTCGCAACTTGGTGGTCATTTTGAAGACGTACAGAAATTTTTTTCATCGGATCAGCGAGTGGAGAATTGTACGGAAGAAGATTTGAATAGAGCACATTCGCTATTAAAAAGTATGACATCTGTAGTACCGAACTTAGACAGAGTATTGCAGGATCAGCGAGAATTCCTTTCAACCAATCCTTCGACGCTTTTTGGAATACCTATTAACCCTGCTGATCAAAATCAAGCACTAGACTATGGAAGTAGCGTTTTCGAATGTTTGAAAAAGCGCCTTAGTAGTTTACAAAACCTGTGTTCAGCAGATACACAAGAAATTCCTTCTATCCTTGACAACATGAGCAGTTCAGATGCGAGAAGGGAAGATGTTCTAGCTATGTTTCAATCGCTTGATAAACTCTTTGAACTCCATCAAAAGTCCCTGCCTTCTGACAACCCATCTTTGGCTATACTCTACAACAACTATGGTAGTCAAAATTGTTCTATGGATAACCACTCGCTCGCGTTGCTTTGCTACGAGAAAGCACTTGACAACATCCTCAATCGTCTGCCTAATAACTACCAACTATTAGCTAAAACTTACAGTAATATGGCAACAGAATTAGATCATCTGGAGCGTCATGCAGAAGCCATTGATTACGCTGAAAAAGCTTTTCAAACTGCCGAGTCTGCTTTCGGAATGCGTCATGAAGAAACCATATTCTACCAAAATCAACTTCAACAACTTCAAAGAAAAGGACGATTTATATATGAAAATATTTAGAACTACTATGCCCTTGTTTTTCCCCAATAAACATGAAATTTAGTATATATCACGACTACACGCTGGCGTGACCAATATTTTTTGGTCACGGTCACGTAACGGCCACGTACATAGCCACGGCGGTTACCGCCATGACCGTGACCGTGAGTCACGAAAATTCTATTGATTATATTGGTGCGATACCTTTCGGTGTGGGTGTGGGTTTCTTGGTTTATTTTTATTCAAACCCTCATCGACACCTGCACCCTCACCCAGACCCACACCCAATATAGAATGCGCATATTCTTGAAAAATCAAAGATCAGACGAGAAGAGAGAAATTATGACGTCAATGTACCTAGCAACAAGAACAAAGGATATCTGCAAAAATTTGTATGAGAGAAGGAAAGAAAGAAAAGATAAGTATGAAATGACAAATGTACTTGTTTATGACCTTAATGACCTTACATATTTAATAGTTTAATGTGAAATAAACACTTTTTTCTTTAATGAAAAATAGGTGGTCCAAAAATGAGCCACCCGTCCTCAAAGGGTTAATTACCCCCAATTTTGGAATATCGATGTTTAGAATTTATGTGGGTATTCTATTCTATTGAAAAATGCACTTATGTTGTCTTTTGTGAGAAAAAAAATCTTAAAAATTATCGAGGACTCGACTTCCTCCAGATTAAATTAATTTTATAAAAAACGTTGATAGATATTTTCTGCTGGATATAAAACCAATCAT